TATACAGTTGACTTTTGTTGAATTTGTGTTGAAAAGTTTATATTTATTACGAATTATGATCTCAGCTAATGTTTATTATAGGTTATTTAGGAGGTTGTGTATGTTCAATACTAAAGAGAAAAATGTTAAGTATTAATGCCATATGTTTATATTATTGAAATAAAAAATTTTAATGAAACATTTTTAAATTTAACCTTAGTTTTTTGTATTTAATTTTTTACAATATATTTATCATAAATAATCCTTAAAATACGCACGAGACTCGCATTTCACTCTCATGCATCATGCACCTTTATGACATGCGAGTGAAATGCGTCTCATATGAGGACGCATCTGTCTGCATCAGTGAAGGCACGAGTGCGAAAAGAAACCTCATACATGCGAGCGATATGAGACGCATATCAATCTCAAATTGTTATCTGGGAATTTTTAATTAAAATTTAGAGAAATATTGTTCAAATGTTGCAAAGCGATAAAATAAATTATATGCAAAGCGATAAAATAAATTAACTTTCTGCGTGTCGCCAAAGAAAATTTTTAAAAACATTCTTTTTTTCACCGTGTTTAGACCTACCCCCCCCCCCTTAAATAATTGAGAATTATCGTAGAATTTTCCAATAAAAATTGATTTAAAAATGATTTTCAGTTAAAATTTTAGACAATAATTGAATAGGGTAGAGTGGGGTAAAAAAGCCACATTTTTACTTTTGATGTTGTAAAATCTGTATTTAACATTTTTTTTCTCAAATTTCCAATTGTTATTGAAAGTTTAGTTATTAAGCTTGAAAATTCTTGACGGAAATATTTTTTATCTCATGAAAGGACTAAGTTATACACGGAGAGACCCACATTCGTAAAAATTACTAAAAATGGTTGCAATGACCGGAAATAAGGGGATTTTTAGCATAATGTACTACAGAATTAGATAAATTTACAAAAGAAATAGATAAATTTGCTACATTGAAATAGCAAGTTTTAATATTTTCTATAAGAGTTGTAAATGTAGCGAAAATTGATTATAGTTTTCTCTAATTTAATTAGACAAAATCTGACAAATGAAAACATTTTCCACTAAAACCTACGATCCACTGTAGTAATTTTTGGTGAGCAAGTGTGGCTAGCGAGTGCAGTCAATCAATCGGCGCCTGCATTTCTATTGGTTGCTAACTTCGTCAATCTCCGTAAATGAGCCGATGCCATCCGATCATTGACAGTGACTATGTTTCGCGTATGTAAAATAAGTTTGGATATTATCTACAATAATTAAATATAAAGTGAAACGTAGGTCGTTCGTTATCTCAGAAATTGACCATTATAAATTAATAAATTTTGCATTTATTCCTGTCCCAAGAACTATGTCTTATAATAAGTTGTTAAAAGTAAACTGCTTTCTCGTAAGTGCTGTAAATTTTCATCATTCAATATATAAGGAAACAAAGATGTATGCTTTCAGTGAAATTCGTCGTCGTGCGTGCAGTTGTGTATTAGTGTATTAATTAACCGCGTCTATATATATAAGTGAAATAAACATGTGTGTGTCTTTAAATATTTATCCAACAAATATATAAGTGTGTGTGTGTCTGTGTATGTAAAAATCCTTCCAGTTTACCTACATTAGTCAAGAATTGACGGGAAAACGGCGACAAAAATCCGTATTTTTTTCTTTCACTCTTTCTTTCTGCATTTACAACGACTATAGTAATTTTACGTACACAATACTTCTGAGTTTACTACAGTTGTTTGGAACTATTGGACGAAATAGTAAGAAACTTTGCTAATTTGGTGAACATTTGTCGGGATTAGTGACTTAGTGTAGAAAATAGTAAAAAATACAAAAAGTCCCCTTATTTCCGGTAGTTGCAATGTGAAAATAGTAAATTCTAGTGTGATTTTATACAAAAATTACTAATCTCGGTCTCTCCGTGTAAGAGTTTTACGAAAGCACTGTAAGTGGCTTTTTTGCATTTTGTAAAATAAGAAGGTTAGTTTAAATAGAAAACAAGTGAATTTCACAAAATATTCAATGGATTTTTTGCCCTGGCTTTTTTACACCCAAGACCAGTTATTAAAAAAAGCAAAAATAAATTGTTAATTCAGTTCAATTTCCAAAAATTAACATTGTATACGTTTTCGCGGGTATACTTTTCTCCTTATGTACAAACATTTACTTTTATTATTCGTTCACTTAATCAAATTGTAATATGTTTGAAAAGTTTACCAAAATGTTTTCAAAAAAGCAACAAAAAATTAAAATTACAATAAAAACAATATTAATCTAGGTACAACATTCAAATTATATTCAAAAGTTGCGTATTACCTAATGGTATTTATATTCTAAACAGCTGATAAATCGGCTTAATAGTTTTTAAATAAAACTCAAATGGCTTTTTTACACCATGGCTTTTTTACCCCACTCTACCTTATTAAAAGCAATATAGCGTGAATATTTTAAAATAATTGAATTTTAAAATTAATTTTTTTTGAAAAAGTTTAATTGCGGATTTTTTTTGAAATTGAATGGTTGGGCACAATAAGGGGACGTGCGCGCCGCTACACGCTATAACGCCAGTCAAACGGTAGAAATTCTAGAAAAATTGGAAATTTTGATTTTTTAAAACCAGTATCTTTTAGGAAATTAAAAAGCGCATCTTTTTTTCCTTTGAGATTTTTTCTAAAATGAATATTTTAGAAAATAATGACCAAAAACTAACAAATTTAAATTCTCAAAAGTGATTAAATTTTTAAACATAACTCGTTGTATCTTCGGTAAATATTATTGAAATTACTTGTAATTTGGCATACAAACGCATTTGGGTCCATACAAGGCGACAACATAATTAAAAATTAAAAAAAAATGAATTGTTTATAGAGATCCGTCAATAATCACGTTTTCTTATCTTTGCCGTCAAAAAGTCTGTGGGGAAGTTAAGAGTTGAGCAAACTTCCAGTGAGACATTTGTTTATTACTATTTGAGGAAGTTTTCTGTAAAGTTACAGAAAGATTCCTTAATTATTTATTGAAATATTTTAATTTTAAGAGAAAGGGCGGCGCGCAGTGAACCTTTGTCTACGTGCAGTCTCAAGTGATATTTGTTCACTGGCTCAATAAAACATGGTTTTTTTCTCAGAAAATCTTACTAATAAATAATATAATTTTATAAATAAATTATGTTAAAATTATATGTCTAATTAATATTTAATTAATAATAAAAAATTTGTTAGTTGAAAATTTTTAGTTGAAAATGTTTATATATTGAGAAATAATACAAACTGTATTTAACTAAAGAATATAAATATATTGTTTTGTGATAAATTTATAATAACTTTTGTTAGTATATCGTTTATTTACAAACTATTTCATATTTTGATCATTGAAATTATTTACAAACTTTTGCACACTCTTGAATATGATTTAGCGATAAACAGTTGAAAAATAAAAGGAAATAATTATTTATTTAAATTACATTTAATTTTAAATAAATTAACGTTATATAATATTTGTATTCATTATTATTTATTTTATTAACCTAAATAAAATTAAGTATTATAAAATATGCTTACAAGCGTATTCAGCAATGTATGTATATTACAAATATTAATGTACGTTTTTCGTTTCTGCTAAAGTGGATAAGAATTACAAATAGTGAAATGTCAATAAAACTATTTTTACAAACTATTAAACAAATATTTTTTACGAAATTAAAATCTTTAAAAAACTAATTTCCTGAGAAATAAACCATGTTTTATTGAGGCAGTGAACAAATATCACTTGAGTCTGCACGTAACGAAGGTTCACTGCGCGCCGCCCTTTCTCTTAAAATTAAAATATTTCAATAAATAATTAAGGAATCTTTCTGTAACTTTACAGCAAACTTTCTCAAATAGTAATAAACAAATGTCTCACTGGAAGTTTGCTCAACTCTTAACTTCCCCACAGACTTTTTGACGTCAAAGATAAGAAAACGTGATTATTGACGGATCTCTATAAACAATTAAAAATTAATAAACAATTCATTTTTTTTAATTTTTAATTATGTTGTCGCCTTGTGTGGACCCAAATGCGTTTGTATGCCAAATTACAAGTAATTTCAATAATATTTACCGAAGATACAACGAGTTATGTTTAAAAATTTAATCAATTTTGAGAATTTAAATTTGTTAGTTTTTGGTCATTATTTTCTAAAATATTCATTTTAGAAAAAAATCTCAAAGGAAAAAAAGATGCGCTTTTTAATTTCCTAAAAGATACTGTTTTTAAAAAATCAAAATTTCCAATTTTCAATTTTTCCAGAATTTCTACCGTTTGACTGGCGTTATAGCGTGTAGCGGCGCGTACGTCCCCTTGTTGTGCCCAACCATTCAATTATTTAAAGTTTTTATTTTCTAATATTTATTTAATTAAAGAATTAACGAATAATTTAAATTTCGTAAAATTGAAAATTGTAAAGAAATGGATTTGAAAATTGTCAAAGAACTTTTTCGAAAATTATTAAAAATAATCGATTTAAAGAAGAATTTTAGCTAAAAATTGTTGTAAACAATAATTGAATTGTAAATGATTTTATCACTCCGTCATATTTAATTATTATAAAACATGAAGAAATCGATCGATATCTTCATGTTTTATAGTTATGAAAAATTTAAATATATAGTTTTGAGTAAAATGTTCTTTTATTTGACCCGGACTGGTTATATTTTTGTCAGTAATTGGTCCGTAAAGTTCGTATTTTTAAATACTTATATTGGTTCGTGCCCTGTTTAAAGGAACTGATACAAATGCTTCTCATTCAATACTTCCTTTCGACTTGAAATGTATATAAAATGTAGATGTGACTTTCTTCATCAGTACGGCTGAATGTATTTAGTAAAATTTCTGCAATAAAAGAAATATTATTTAAAACTTGTAAACGTTTACAATCAATGTAATGGTAAATTTATTATTCAAGATTGGAATTTAAAAATATTAATTATAATACCGTAATTTTATTATTTGTTTACAGATTTCTAGCACACTTGGAACATTAAGATTTGGATTTTCATTATGCATCGCAATAAAAACACTTGCGGTAGAGTAAACGCTCCCTCCGGATATGGTTATTTCGCACGGGCAATGTTTCCCTCTAATGCTTTGAATTTTCCTGCAACGCATCGAGACATTGACTATAATAGAAGCAACGGTTATAATGAAATTTTTTTCGCTGTTCATCAAGGAAAATTAAATCTCGCTCACAAGTTATTGAAGGATGATGATATTGAAAAGGAATGTTGCGGTAGAAGATTAATCCACGTTGCAGCAGCTAGAGGTCACGAAAAAATTGTATGTTTACTTTGTCAACGCAACGCTCGAATTGACAGAGGAGATCAGGACGGAAATACGCCACTGCATCTCGCAATAAAGGCGAAACACACCGATGTGGTTTATCTACTTGTGGAAAAGAATACCGTAAATTTGTTGAATTACATTAAGAAAGCGCCACTCCACATGGCCGTAGCAAACAGTAACAATCAGGTTGTAGAGGTACTTTTGTCAAGTGGTGCTAATCCGAATGAACCAGACGCAATTGGCGATACACCACTTCACGCTGCTGTGTCAATGGGGAGACCCAACTTGAAAATAATTACTCTTCTCATGGATCACGAGGCAGATGGAAATCTACTTTCCGATGCGCTGTTCACCCCCCTCTATCTCGCAGTTGCTTCAGGACATATTCAAGTAGTTAAAATTCTTGTCAAGTACGACGCTCGAATTGATATGATTAATAAAGGCGAAATATCGCCACTCGTCCTGGCAATTAAGGAAAGTAGGACAGAAATGGTACGAGAACTTTTAACCAGCAAACATCATGAATATTCCGAGATGACAGCACTTCATAATGCTGCAGAAGGCGGTAAACTGGAAATCGTCAAATTATTAATGACTAACGGATATAATAAAGTCAATTCCAAGAATGAACTTTTTCAGACTCCTCTCTACTTGGCAGTAAGCAAAGGCCATTTGGAAGTGGTAAAATACCTGCTGGACAATGGAGCGAAACTAGAAATAGCAACTGATAATGTCCAAGGAAAATCCCTTCTCCATTTGTGCGCCACGAAAGGTCAGATAGAAATATTGAAGTGTTTAATTGAACACGGTGCAACGATTGACAAGGAAACGTTTCAACGCGAAACGCCACTCCATTTTGCTATTTCTGAAAGTCACGTGAATGTTGTCAAGTATTTATTGGAATGCGGCGCGAATGTTCGAGCGAAAACACTGAATAATGAAACTCCGCTTCATTTAGCTGTTAAAGCAGGCAACGAGGAAATTGTAACGGAAATTTTAAATCGTGGTGTAACTTTACATTCACTGGACGACTTGAATTGTTCAGCTCTTACATATGCTGTGAAATCTCGAAAGAATAAAATAGTGAAATTGTTCATTGATAAAGGCCACAGAGATTCAAGTACTGTATATGATGAACGAGCTATTTATATTGCTGCAAAAAATGGAGATACGGAAATTTTAAAACTACTATTAGATGCCGGATGTTCATTGGACACTATTTGCAAGGAGAAAAAACCCATTCACGTAGCTGCCATTTTCGGTACTGTTCCATTAATCGAGCTACTAATTAAGAGAGGTGCCGATGTTAATTCAAAAAAAAGATTCGGGGAAACGCCGTTACATCTTGCAGCCGCATCAGGACGAACATCAATGGTAAAATTTCTTTTAAATGCTGGTGCAAGTCTTACATTAAAAACTGAATCAGGTTTAACAGCATTGGATTACGCATTGGATAGAGAGAGACACCAACTTATTAGGCAAAAACGTTCTACTGTAGCTGAAACTGAAAACTCTGCTTGGTCTCTTCAGCCAAACATGTTCGAAAGGTATCTCGATATAACGGAAATGATATTACTTAAACAAGCTTCAATTCCCGAAACACTTTTCTCATTTTCTGTGAGTCGGTTAATTCTTGCTTTTAAGATGAGAGTAACGAAGGAATCTAAAATAGAATTTGAAAGTAAACCGAAAGGAAGTAAACCGAAAGGAAGTATTTCAAATGTTAAATTTCAGCCTGAAATCGTCCAATGTATTCTTAATTATTCAAGAGAAAGTATATCTACTCATTCCTTAAATACTATTTTGAAAAATGCAGTTGAACAAAATTCGTCTGGAGTATTAAAATGTCTTTTAGAGTACGATATTATAAAAACGTTCAGTGATATTGAAATAAATTGTTCACAGTGTGATATTGAGACAATTATAACCATAATTGATCACATCAAAGACAGCGAAGAAATTTATAATTTATTATATAATTCAACAGTACAAACGTGCGTTAAAAGATTTCGAGAAACCAGCAATCTTCAAGATTCTCCTGTAAGAAGAGAATCACAAAGTTTAAGACTCCGATTCGAAACTCTCAGATTGGGAAGATTAAATGATGATTTATTTATGTTAGAACAAGTTTTTTCAACTCAGCTAACTAAAACTTTTCTTCTAGACAGAAGAACATATAATGATACATTAAAATTATTAATTGCCCGCTTAGTTCATTTGCGATCGATTTCTGAAAAGAACAATTTTCCCGAGTCGAAGGAAACCAAATTTCTTGACGATTATGGACTTAGTGAGTGGTACTCGGATTGTGAATTACAAATAATGAACACAAGAGAAACAAAAATCCATCATCACTTTGATGTGACTTACTTCGATATTTTATCACAACCTATTGAAAAAATTGCGAATTATGTTCGACAGAAAGAGTTACTAAAGATTTTGGAAATATCTTCTATGAAATTCCCCGCATATGGAAAATTTATCAAAAGAAGCATCGAAAAGGGCATATGCAGAAAAGAATTATTTGACGCGTGTAGCAATTGCTTATTGAATGTTATCGATACAAATTATAAAATCCAATTGCCAAGTATCGTTATCGATAAAATTTTAAAAAACTTGTCTATTCTTGATTTAAGAAGATTTCAACAAGCTGGAAGATTCATTAATAGGAAACCATTCCAATCGCGTCCTCACTTTGCCAGAAGAGGAAAAATCGGATTCAAAAAATTCTGAGATATATCAGTGTGTCATTTTATTATTCTACTTTTTATAATATACCAAAAAAACAGTATTAAACTTGTGTTAAGTGTTCAATAGTTCAAAAAGTTAAATTTGAACACAAAATTGTTTAAATACGTTTATGTTACGTTTATACATATTCATATTATTTGATTTTATATACGAATAAGTATGACTGAGGTTCAAAATAATTGTAAGTTTTCATTTTTGTAAAGTTTATAAAACAGAAAATGAAAAATAAAAACAATTTTACTGTTCATTTCTTAAGAAATATTGAAAATTTTAATTTGTAACTAAAACAATATTTATAGGTAATCAATTTATATTGACTATATAATTGCGACGCACTGGAAAATTCTATCCTAAAAAATGTAATTATCTATTAATTATAAAAACAATAAATCTGAAAACTTTTTATATTTTTTCTATTTTCGGATACCATTATGAAAAACATTTAAAATTCAGAAGTGAAAATTTCTAATTTTTAATTGAAGAACCGGTTATAATTTTTTTCAACTAAAATTAATTCTCAAATAAATCATAAAATAAAAATTTTTGTGTAACACCTGTAAGGAAAGTAATACTTTACATGCCTGTAAAGTAGGCGCAAAACAGTACTTTGCTGCACTAGTGCGACAAAGTTCTTAAAAATTTGAGTTTTTTTTGTGATATACATAGGCATTTGTTTTCTATTTGTAGAATACCTGTTTTTTACAGTAATATACGCGTAGAAAACCATGTATATTACCCCTACTGAAAATTCCCATATGGGAAACCACATGGGATCCTATGTCAAAAACCATGTAAAACCCTACTTCCATGAAGGAAACCATGTGGTTTCCCATGTCAAACCATATGGGAAATTGAGACAGGATTTTAGATAGGAGATTTGAACAGTTTGTCTATGCATAAAACCATATCAAATCCCACATGAAATCCTGCATGTTTTTCTCAGTCAAATCTTAAACCAAATCCCATGTGAAAAACAGTATCATTTATTTATAATTATTTTCCCAAGTCAATCCCCAAGTGAAATCCTTTTTCCTTTTTTTTAATTTTCTAAAATTTTAATAAATCTTTCGAAACAATTCAATTATTTTTATAAATAATGAAATTTTTTTCAAAAATTCAATTATTTGTAATAAAATTTCATGAAAGAATAAAATTTTTAATAATGTTTTTCGAAAAAATCCAATTATTTTCTAATTTTCTACAATTTTAATAAATCTTACATTAAAACAATTCAATTATTGTTATAAGTATAAAATTTATCGCAATAACTAATTTAATAACACAGACTCTAATAAAATTGTTTAAAAGAGTTTAAATTTCTATCAATAATTTTAATAAAATTTTAACAGTAAAATTATTCAATAAATAAAATGAATTTTTTGAAAGAATTCAATTATTGCGAAAACCTTTAATAGTACCTACCTATTCTTCGAAAGAATTTAATTATTTTCTATATCTTAATAAAATTCTTAGAATGAATTAAAATATTTTAGAAAATTGTAATAAAATTCTCAGAAAAATTTAATTATTTTCTAAAAATTTTAATAAAATCTAATACCTAATCAAATTTTTAATTTTAATTATTAACAAATACGATTATTTAAAAAACTTGAAAGAAATTGTTCATAAAATTCAATTATTTTCTAAATTTCTAATTAAAATTAAGATTAACGAAACTCCATTATTTTAAAAAAATTGAAAGAAATTCTTCAAAAGAATTTAATTAGGATTTTCAAAAATTTTAATAAAATTCTTCACAAGAATTCAATTATGTATTTTCAAAAATAATAAAATTCTTCGTACGAATTTAATGATTTTCAATACATTAATTTTAAAATTGAAGATATTTAAAAAGAAAAATTATTTTAAAAATTAGGAAACAAAAAAGCAAACAGCAACTAACTTCAAACTGCGAACAAATTACCGGAATACAACGATTACCCAGGACCACAAAGGGAAATTGAGGTGGACATGTTCTGAGTAAAGGTGACCTTTATGTTTTTGGGGTCGCTGATTACGATGCCGGTGTCTGTATGACCCCATCACGTCAGTATCAAGGTCATTAGAATCGATGTGCAATACATGTTTTTCTTCTCATATTGATGAGAAGAATAATTTACAATGAGTTTTAGACGATTTTGTTAGGTGAGGAGCAATTCCACGTGAAATGGTCAAGTAAAAATTTCAATTGTCTGGGAATAGCTTAAAACTCTGGTAAATAAATTGTTGTTTAACATAAAAGTAATAAAATTCTAAAATATTAACATTTCAAAAAATTAATTGCGTAAATTATGGAGATTGCAGTTTTGCCGTTTTAAGCGAAATTGGTAATTTGAAATCAAATCTGTATAATTTTGACAAAAATTGACTGAATTCAATTTTTTTTATAGTAAACTTTAAAATTTTTTGTAAAGTTTAAAAATTTGAACAACATTGGGTTTAAAAAAATAAATAATAAATACAAAAAACTAACTTTTTAAACATTTTTATAGTTTATTTTATTGAAAGCCCATTGTTATTGCAAAAAAGCTCAGCTTTTCAATTAAAATGATAACAAAATAAGAAAGAGGTAGTTTTTGTACAAATTAAAAAATAAGAGTTTTGGAATTTAAAAGTACACAAAAAATGCTTTAAAATTCACTATATAGAAATTTAAATCACTTAATTTTTCTAGAATTTATGTCAATTTGAATATAACAATGTCCCTTAACATATAATTTTTTGATTGGTTTAATTCTCGTGGAATTACTCTGCTGAGAAAACTATACTTGTGAGGGTTGAAAAAATTACCCAAAGTAACAGTAAAATTTGATTTCTTTAGTATATGCACCTATGCTTCTTTATTTAATACAAGCAATATAAAAATTATAATTTTATTAGTTTTTTTGTTAAAAAAGTTATCAAAAATATACAGCTGATATTACAAAAATTATATAATACTCTCTAAATTTGAATCAGCGAAAAGTCGCTGATTCACCAGCCCAGAGTATGCAGCTGATGAAATAGCGTATATACACTGATAAAACAGCGTATATGCACTGATTTTCCAGCGTATATACGCTGTTTCATCAGCTGCATACTCTGGGCTGGTGAATCAGCGACTTTTCGCTGATTCAAATTTAGAGAGTACAATTAGTTTTTATAACAATATAATTCAATGAAGTTACAATAAATTTTCTTCCCAAAAAACTTGAAAATATAATTAGTGTCAAAAATAATAAACGGAGTTAAATCCCGTGTGGAAAAAGCCACGTTCGAGCCCCACAGCTCCGAGGCCCCCGTTGGGGGCCCTCGTGGAAGATCCATGAGGAGAAATCCACGAGGGCACCAGCAGGGGCCCCGTTCTTTGCCCTTACGGTTGCCCTGCTCAAAAATTTATCTAAGTTTAAAAAAAAAATTTTTTTATTGAAAAACTTTAGTTCAGAATGCATTAAATTACGTTTCAAAGCACCTGAAATAAACATTAAGTGACATTTTTCCAGAAATCCTATCACAAAGTTATGGAAATTTACGAGGGCATTTACCAGCAAAAATTTCTAAGTCCAAACAAAAAATATTTTTTTACATAACAAAAATTAATGTTTATAATGACTTTAAACAATGAAAAACACGTTTTTAACACAAATGTTTTGACATTTTTTTTTTTTTGAAATTATAAAAATATTAATTTACGAATATTTATGGTCTATTATTATATTATTAATATTGTTATTATTATTATTAAACTATTTAATTATTTGTCATGGTGTATTAGTGTCAATAAATAATTTATTGAATCATCAAAAGCAAATCATCAACTCACGTACAATAAGACAATAATTTTCAAGTAGGTTCCGTAGCATAGTGGTAAGAGTGTTGTCTGGTAGTTAGTAGAGGCTCAATTCCCGCGTGAGTCAGATTTTTTTTTTGGTCACGATTTAATTAAAAAAAGTAAAAATTGTTAAATGAGAATGTTATTTATCAATAATTGGACTAATTTGTTATTAATAAATTATTAATTTATTAATTTAATTGAAAATAAAGTTGAGGGCATTTTATGAAATCCACGAGGGCACCGCGTGGAAAATCCATATGGAATCCATGAGGATTTTCCTCGAGGGCACCCATGAGGGAAAGCATGTCACGCCTTCGAGGGCTCCGCGTGGATTGCCCCTACGGGTTCCACATGGCAAGAGGGCAATCCACGAGGGCCCTCACCATTTTTCTGCACGGAATGTTAAATTTTTATTATTGATACAGGTACTTAATATTCTTTATATAAAAATACATCATTTCGATATTTTTAAGCTCTCGTAAATTTTATTGCATCTTAGTTGAACACCTAAATCTGTCAGAAATGTTGTAACGTGGGGTACTTTATCCTTTTGTTTTCCGCTCTCAAACACTGTGACTAGAGTCATTCTCGGATCAATGTTGTACATGGCGTAAGTATAACCATCCTATAAAGTTGTAATTGTTTCTTAATTAATTGTTTTCCAGATTAAGTTAATAAAGATAGTAAAATTTTACTATCTCAAAGTAAAGGTTAATGCCCTTCTACACGGAGAGACTTTTGTTACAAAAATTACTTTATTGTATTTCGATATTTCTAATAAAACGTAAGAATTTAGGGATAATCGAGGTACGATGATGATAGTTCTTATTATAATAATAAGTAGTGTTATTTTTTTTATCTACTATTGTAATTTTTAGGGAACAGAAGTTAGTATAAAAGTTTAGAAAGAATATCATTTGATGTTAAGACAATTGCAAATACGAGAATATAGAACTTATTTATAATATTGATATTTTTATTTGTAAACCCACTATTTTGAATACTATTAAATGTAAAAAAATTTTAGATACTGTATTATTTTCAATACTAACACGCTCTGAAATGAAGTTGAAAAATGCAGTTTGAAAAAAAAAAATGTAAAAAATAAAATAAAAAATGTCAAATAAATTGTTATTATTAAATAATAATTAATAATTAATAATAATATTAATATTAATAATAATATAATAATATAATAATATAATAATAATAATAATATAATATTATAATATTAATATTATTATTATTATTATTATTATTATTATTTTTTTTTTTTTTTTTGCTTAGGGACTTTTGGGAAATCTGCCTACAGATACCTTGGACTCCGCACTCCAAGGTTATGTAGGGTTGGTGTGATAAAACAAAAGGAGATAAAAAAAGAAAAATAAATATATAAAATAGTAAATTTAATAAACTGGCGA